AAATCAAAATATAAGCCACGGCCTGTTTTAGGGCCATGAACAAATAAGCTAGTTCAAGAAACAGAACAAACTCAAAAATTTAGCATCAGTACGTTTTTTACAAGCAAATTTGAACTACTCGATCCAATGATCTTGCTGTATGAGTGACGATGTTCGTTTTAAGAAACAATCTAGCACGTGTCAAATTAATCAAATGTTCCATTTGCAGCTGCATTGGCTCTTGATTTTGATGTACCCTTATCGAACTCACTTCGAGAACTAAGTATCCAAAGCTTCTTGGGTTGCATATTCAGCTCTTCTACTCTTAGCAAAACGAATCTGATCTGCCAGTGAAATTTCCTTCTGCAATTGTTCTTTTTTCATGACGGCTATGTCAAATTTCTCCCAAGGTCGTTTCTGTTGACTGCTTACTCGGCTAACTGCAGATTTCTTTCTGTGGATCTGTTTACAAAATATCATCACAATGACACTAGAAATTGGGCTAACAAAACAAAATACACAGGATAGAAAATGGTCTACACTGTTGAGATGCGAATTTAGGCAATTCCGTACTGTATGATTCTTATGACACTAACAACAAAGCCTCGTTAACTGGAAGTCCAGGAAAAACAAAATTACATCTATAAACAAACTGCAAAAAAAACTTATTTCAGTGTTATCTACTGTCTCCCAAATGAGTAAGCATTACTAAATGTTTTTATGTCAAACAAGAAAGCAGCNAAAAAAACTTATTTCAGTGTTATCTACTGTCTCCCAAATGAGTAAGCATTACTAAATGTTTTTATGTCAAACAAGAAAGCAGCTTATCATCATATACAAATATTAGACCGTTCCCATTGTTTTAAGTGTCATCTGAACCTGATGATATGAACTTACTAAAGGTATCTTTTTTAGCCATTTTGTCTTCTTGTCCCCACACAACCAAAATAATATTTGAATCCATACAAAAATGAAACAAGAACATTAATAATGATATAGATAATTTACTTCAATAGTATCACAGTTTCGCATTAAACTTTCGTTGGGTTTTACCTTGATTAGTCTCTCCCTGAGTTTCAGCTCATGAGAAACAGCCAACTGTTCTTTTTCTTCCTTCGATTTTTTGTTTCTTTTCTTATTCAGTTCTGCTCTATGTTTTGCATTCTCTTCCCGCTCTTTTTTCTTCTGAGTAAGCTTTGCCGTCTTTTCTGCTTTTGCTTGTGATGCTCTCTCTGCTTGAATGCGTGCCATTTCTTTTGCCTTTGCTTTTTCTGTAGCCTGCTGAAGCTGTTTAAGGGCAATCTCTCTTTTAATCTTGTGATAGCTATCCCAATCTAGTTCTTGTTGTTCAATCCCACCAATCTTAGCAGCATTTGCAATACTTTCAGCCCATGCCTGCAACAAATTTTCCCTCGACCTTTTCCATTGTAACCGTTTCCCCCATAGCTTTCTCAGTGATGAGCGTATTCTTGCTTTGGTTTGATAGCTGCAAAAAGGACTCCTAGTTTTAATGCAACCATTAACCTTAAAAGTTGATTTTGATGCTTAATGTTGGCTCTGTTGGGTGAGCCACTAAGTCATTTCAATAGTTTTATGCCTTCTCACATCAAAGAAAAGACCTTTGGGTTCGGAATCGGCTCCAAATCATGGGAAATTAACAAAATACTAGAATATAAACCATTTAGGTAAGATGTATCAACGTAAAATACTTCGATTATCTTTTATGAGAAGAAAAAAAGGACAGCCAGGCATTACATGTTTCATGGAATATAAATTCTGCAAGACCTATAATATATGCATATAAAAGAATCATGCCTGTGAACAATGATGTGATGGTGCCAACCATGAGGCACAAGCGATTACAGCCTCTCTTCCATCAAGATCAATCTTCGCACTATTATCGATCTTTTAATTAAGAATTTCAAGAAACTAGTACAAACAAAAGCCCTCAAGTATGCAGTATCCAATTTGACATATTTCGCCATTCAGTCACAACTGCATGTATTTCTACTTTCTAGGGATATGCCATGCTCATACCACCACAATGAAACAATTGTAGAAACCTCTTCACAACCATATTTCAATTTGGCATGAGATTATATACAGTAGTGTGTATGGGGCAGAATTAAATATTTCTCAATTTTTGGTAAGTTGCGGCTGTTCAAAAGTCTCTAAACATATACTGTAGCTAGGAGCTTTTGTCCTACTACAGTGACCTAATCCAGAACACTTATTAGCTTTAGACTTCATGGAATCAGAATACCATGTTGAATCAAAAGGAGAATACTAATATTATTGTGAGAGGTTGGTTTCATTCACGATCAACAGTGGTATAGTAGAAACGAAGAATACCTGAGAGAACGAGGATATTCGGACATCTTCTTTCTAACCTGTAGAATTAGAAAGCGACAAGAAGATAACAACGGTGAGTGCAATTCAATCATGTAACTAAGCTTAGCAGCAAAAAAGGAAGTGGCTTCTTTTAAGTTTCCAAATTGGTCTGTAAGAATAAAAAAGTTACTGCAACAAATCCAATAAATTATTCTCCTTGACAGAGAATAATTTTCCACGGCAATAGAGAGAATTACGAGTTCTAATCCATGAAGTAAAAATCTATTATATATTTATTCAAATTATCTGATTCTTACATGACTTCACCTTGGGGTCTTTCAAGGCTTCTTTTGTTCTCTGTTTGATTCTCTCACGAGTTCCTGCATATGTAGAAATAGTGCATTTAATTACTAAAGCAAGATTCTTGCGATAAGAGTAGACTGCAGAAAGAGCTACCTTCGCTGTGTTTCCTTCCTTTGTTCCATGGCACTTTTCCTTTGTTTGCTAGACCGATTTTCCTTCTTCTCTGGATTTCCTTATCATCCTCGTAGTCAGAAATTTCTACTGAATTACCATTATTTTCTGCTCGAATAACTTCACTTAAAACTTGCTCCATGGGCAAATCAGACATAACTTGCTCTTTCCAAGATTCCTCTACTTCAGGCGTCTCCCCCTGGTATGTACCTGTATACATTGCTTTGCAGGAGTATGGTCCCTTTGAGGAACTAGCAAGGCCAAGGCCAATGAATGGAGATACGCTCTTCAAAAGAGATGAACCTAGGATTTTATATGTTTTGCTTGGTTTAATACGTGCACATTCAATTACATGATGAGAATGAGACGACAGAAGAGTTCGACGTATAGAATTGATAGGAAGTTGAGAAGCCGAAAGTTTCCTGGCAAGAAAGCCATTGTGCACCATCATTGTTATTGTCAACAAAACCCATTCATCCATTGTCTACTTCCTTATTTATTTTAGTGATATATTTAAATCATTTCTTACCAACAAAAATCTGAAACTGCAATAAACCTAATATTTGAAAGTCCTAAAATATTATGAGCATAAATTTACAGCTGAGGAACAAATTGAAGAGCAGAAAATAATTCATACTTGCATAAACTGCAAACAATCATCAATGCCAGTGAAAATTCGCATTTCATGAAAGCTTAAGTATCATACAAATATACAATTGGACAAGAGAATTCAAATTTTAGATTTCGGACTCCAAAATCCACGCCACAATTCCCAGATCCCCAAGGCGGAGCTCATAGATAACATTTTCATCAACATATTATCACATATTTACCACAAATTACAGATTTAAATCAGCTCGAATCATTATTTCAGAAAAAAAAAACAGCGAACATACAACAGATAGAGAGAATAGCTTACAGGGATGAGGAAAGCATTGCAGATTATACCCGTCGAGCGGGCATGGAATATTAAATTACCGCGAATATCGAAGATTTTGTTACTTCGAACACTTGGATAGGCATCGGAAGCAGGTGATTGACCTCATGGCTCTAGATTTTCATTCTTATTTATTTTATTTTTTATAATAAAGTTATTAACAATATTTTCAAAAAATAGTTTTGATCGAGTTGAGGTTAAAATGGTAATTTTAAATATATTTATAATTAAAATGAAAAAGATAATTGTTTACATTGTCGATATATTTATAACAATTAATTCCCTTCGGTGATGCTCACAGGATTTCTAATCTAGGGCTTTCGCTTCCAATGGATCCGATCAAGAAGCGCAAGATTGACGATAACGGCGTCATAATTGTCGACACAGATGCCTTCATCCCTTACAAACTCAACCTCGAAGATGCCCGCAAAATTGCCGAGCCCTTTTCTCATGAACAGTTGTTGGAAATTGTTCAAAACGCCGTTCTCCGTCATCCTGATGTACTTGACGCCGTCAGGTCCATAGCTGACCGGGACGTGACCCTGCGGAAGCTATTTATCCGTGGACTCGGATGGGAGACCACTACAGATGGACTCCGTGCTGTGTTCTCGAGCTATGGCGAGTTAGCTGAGGCGGTGGTTATTCTCGACAAGGCTACGGGTAAGTCAAAGGGTTATGGGTTTATTACTTTTAAGCATGTTGATGGTGCTGTGTTGGCTTTGAAGGAGCCGAGTAAGAAAATTGATGGTAGGATGACGGTTACCCAGCTTGCAGCGGCTGGTATGTCTGGGGGAAGTGGGCCTGGGGTGGGTAGTGTTGGGGAAGGAAATAATCATGTGGATGTGTCGGCAAGGAAGATTTATGTGGCTAATGTGCCTTATGATATGCCTGCTGAGAGGCTGTTGCAGCACTTTTCCATGTATGGGGAGATAGAGGAGGGGCCTTTGGGCTTTGATAAGGCAACGGGGAAGTCCAAGGGGTTTGCTCTGTTTGTTTATAAGACAGCCGAGGCTGCGAGAGCTTCACTTGTGGATCCGATGAAAAATATTGACGGGCATCAGCTAAATTGTAAGCTGGCGATTGATGGGAAAAGAGGGAAGCCTCCCATGATGGGGGCTGCCGGACCTGTTGGAGCTCAGCAGGTGGGTAATGCAGATGGGATAGGGGGGACAATCTCGGGTGGACAGTATGGTGGGATTGGTAGGCAGTATACTGGGTTTTCGGGGCCTTTGGGTGCTGGTGGTGGTGTAGGTGGTCAGGCGACCCCAGCAGTTGGAAGCCAGGCTGCAGGGTTGCATTTGGGGGCTGGTGGTGGGTTTGGATCTGCACTTGTTGGGCCTTATGCTGGTGGGACAAATTCTGTTGGGCCTGGTGCAACTGGATATAATAGACTGGGAATTTCCAGTAGTGGGTTAGGCGGTGCTGGTGGATTGCGTGGTGCTGGTGATGGATATGGTGGGGTTAGAGCTGGATTAGGTGGTTCTGGTGGTGGATTGGGTGGAGTTGGAGGTGGACTGGGTGGTGGACCAGGTGGAGTCGGAGGCGGACTGAGTGATGTTGGCAGCAGATTGAGTGGTGTAGGTCGTGGGCCATCCTTGTTTGGTTTGCCACCAAGCTCAGCTGGAACAGGTTCAGGAAATTATCAACGGAGTGCACAGTACAGTTTGTCATCTGGTGGGTATCAAAGCCAGCATAATCAACCTTCAGGAACATCGTCAGCACCTAGAGTCCCGCCTGGGGAAATGTACCAGGGGATGCACCCTTACTACTAAGGTAGTTTCAATACCTCTTAACTTACCATTCATATCATTGTTGTGGTAGGTTATGCTCCGTGCTTGATTAACTTAATGTTTTATTTCCATATTCTTCTGTTGTTTTTTTGTGGACATGACTTGTGGTTCTGCATGATGTGCATTCTACTCTTGGACTTTCATGGCTATAGGTTGTAATTGAAATTAGCATTTTCAGTCCTTTTATGATTTTATTGATGTGCGGCTGTTTTGTGCCTCTGGCTTTTATCATACAACAACATGGTTTTCTTGGTTACAACTTTGTGTTATGCCTTCTTGTGATAATTAGATCGTTTTGTGTGGTTTCATATGGAAATTTAATTTGCAATTTTGAGTTGAAAGCTTCTTGTTGTGTGCTTGGAATACAAGATTCATGTATGTATATGATGTACACAATGTAATCTGGAGTTGTCAATAATATTGTTATTATATGATTTGTTGTTGCCTTGTGTTAATAGAATTTAGTTATTATCATAGTATAATTAGAATAGAAGCTAGTTATTGTCATATTATAACCCCCCCCCCCCTTCTCTTATGAGGATTTTGCTTCGTTTAGGATTTTAGTTGTTTTCCCTTTTAGTAACATTGAATAGTTTTCTTATATTGGTAAAATTAGGAAATGATGGTAGATTTGACGAGTTAGACATGTTTAGATGGGACTAAGTACTGGAATTGGCAGGTTAAGTATTATTTTGTGTGATCTAACCAAAGCTGGAAGTGGATAGGAGAAAATCCCCACCAAAAAAAAAAAAAAAAAGAAAAAAAAAACATCAAAGTAGAGTGGGAATTGGATTCCCACTCTACTTTGACCTCCCCCCCCCCCCCCCCCCCCCCCCCCCCCCCCCCTTCTCTTATGAGGATTTTGCTTCGTTTAGGATTTTAGTTGTTTTCCCTTTTAGTAACATTGAATAGTTTTCTTATATTGGTAAAATTAGGAAATGATGGTAGATTTGACGAGTTAGACATGTTTAGATGGGACTAAGTACTGGAATTGGCAGGTTAAGTATTATTTTGTGTGATCTAACCAAAGCTGGAAGTGGATAGGAGAGCTTTGGACCTTAAGTTTCTTTTGTTGTGGCATTAAGTTGCAGTGGAGAACTTTGACATGCTAAATGCATGATCTGTTAATTTAATTTCATTGAGTCTCATAAACAATGATGTGCCCAAGTGAGAGAGAAATGATGAATGCACATGCTATATGCAGGCCCCTTTGTAGCAGTTCTTAAATTCTCTCCCTTTTTTTTTTTTCTTTTTTAATAAAATGTTTGTGCCTTAAATAGTTTCTAATCATTTCATTTGGTACTAAAATGAAAAATATGTGGCCATGAGTGTATCTTTCTCGTGCTTCGGCCCGTGATGTGATTTTCTCTTTAGTTTGTCGACTGCTTATTTGGAGTAATAGAATACTACATATGCATATGCCTATCTTTAGTAGTTACTATTGTTTGAGCTGTTTAAGTTCTAAATTTATGGCAGGGTTTTTTTATGGTTAAACTTCATCACTGGAAAACTTTTCCTTACGATATCAAGTTTTAAAATTCAGATTCTACATCACGTGCTTTTGTTATTTTCTGCGTGGATGGGTTGATTGTCCTTGTGTACACTCTTACACATATTTGACTTGTTTGATTGCCTCCTAATATTTATAACTTTGAATCTTTGATGCTTCATTTGAATGTTAGCGAATTGTTTTGGAATGTTATCCAGTATTTAATGCAATTGGTTGTGAATAAGGTGCCTTTGATGTTAAATATCTTGCTGAAGTTGTCATTTCTTTGTTTAGGAAGGCCTGTGGATGTGTGGTGCATTGCCCATGCAGGTTTGGTAGGTATGGGTATGGACATATACATGTGAAATGTATTAGTATTTCTCTACTCACACATATCCAGACATGTACACGTGTGCACATTCACACACAAACCCCTTACCTTCATTACTGTACTTCTAGAAACAAATAACGTGCATACATGCACACAAACACATACCTACATAGCTGTACTTCTAGAGACTAAAGATGTGCTTATGTAAACAATATGCAGAAAATAATGTTATATTTAGCTCATTATATATGCATATGTTTTTAAGAGTTGAGTACCCATTTATCACATTGTATTTAATTGTGTAATCTTTTCTGAAATCTTTTCAACCTTAAAATAAACAATGACATATGAAGCCAACTCTTTGGTAAACTTGGGTCGGCTGCGATGATAAATTTTTGTTGTTTCATTTTGATCCTGTGCTACCGCTTCTGAAATGTCTAAGAAATCAAATATATTGCAACCTGCATGGGCTATATTAATTTTAATTTCCCTATTTGTGTTTTAGCCCGTTCTACAAGGATTGCACAGCTCTTGCGAATGCAAGTTTCTTTGGATATGCAGGAAACATCCCTACTGTTTATGTTTGGCTTCTAAAGCACCACATAAACAGCCTCCCTACTCATAAAGCGGCTATTGGCTTCCTATTTGACCGCCATAATTCGAGTAGAGGCTGGGTATTATCATGGGATTGAGATGAGAGGTCGTGATAGATGGGAGTGGGTGAAGAGTGTAAGCATTTGCTCCATACGATCACCTCCCCAACCCTCAATCTTCCTTTTTAGAGGATGTCCTACAAATTTCTTTTCCCACATGAGTAGTAGTGTGGAACTTTTGCTTACTTCTCATCTTATCCAACTGGCTGCTGATGTACCTGGTTGCTTATGTCATATGCCTTAAGCCAAGCCTTGCCCTCTTCTTAATACACAATGTTCAATTCAGCTAGTAGAAGCTACACTAGGAATCTTTTTGAAGAATTCATGTAATAGATGTGCTCAACTTACAGTAACCCACATCCATCCTTGTCTGGGAGCTGCTGTGTAGAAACTTAGGCATTACTAATTAGAGCTTGGGAATTGATGAAATATTGATCATTTTTTGAAAAACTTTTAAGTTGTTTAAATCATTTTCTGTACCACTGAAGATTAATTGATCAAGTAATTCTGCTATTTTTTTGGTCTGGTTCTTTATCTTTATCATATGCTTTTTGACATTTGGTAGCTTGCCTTCTAAAATAATTTTATGAACTCTAATTCTTGTTATTGGTGAAATTTTGGCAGCTTCTCATATTATGTTCTTTTTATTCAGTCTGTTTTGTCTGTTGGATGTGTCATGATGTATTGAGTTGTGAATGAATGTTTGATTAAGGTTTGTAACAACTTGTTGGTGCAGTTGCCTTGAGTGCTTGTGGTGATCTCGTGCAAGAGAATGTGAACTCTGGCCTGATGGTTTTGATTTGCTGTGTACTTTGGCCTCTTCACTTGATATGTGCCTTGGGATGTCATCCTCTCTAATTTCTGGTAGTTAAAAGTGTGTTAGATTATCTACCAAAAAAAGCTAAAGAAAGAGAAAAGTACTACTGAATTATTTATTTTCCTTTTATGAGAAAACCAACATTTTCCTAGTTTTTATGTATGAAGGTAGTATCATAGCTACTGGCTTTGACAGTGGTATGCTTTAAATTTTTATGTATCTTTTTAGTTGCTTCTGATGCTTGCACCATTCGTTTGGGTTTATTATTTTTTTCTCCTTGTTGATGCAAGTCTAAAAATTTGCTTTATAGAGTGGTGTTATAATTTTGTCTGTGCATTATGTTTCATTGTTTCTTTATATATTTTAGGTTCTGTCAAGAACCGTTGCCTTGGGTGTTGTAGAGCCAGCATCCTTGTCAGGTTTTTCTATTGGAGCGTGTCTTGGGTGAGTGCAGCATTTTAAAAATTAAATGGAAAGATTAAGAAAGAAAAAGATGTAAAACTTTTTATGGTTAGTCCCCAACTGTTTTGAAGTCCTAGCAATTTACAGGTAGAGAGACAGTCTTTTAGAACAGCCTACTGGTAAATCAACACTTGTAATATGTTACTGGCACAATTGGATTTGATGACACATTTGCACCATGAACTAAACATGTGTGCTCAATCTATGATAATTTGTCTTGTGGGCTGGAAAATTTATTGATGATACATCACATACCTCCATTGACAAAAAGTGTCTTCATATCCAATTACTTCATCAAATAGATGATTCTTATATGTCTGTAGTTGTTTCAAATGAACAATGAAATATTAATGTTTTGTAATTTCTCATCTCCCAAAGAGCGCTATATATGTTTTTGGAAGCCAGTCCTTCGTGAGAATCTCACTGATGATTCATCAGCATCATTGCCTTGTTCATCTTCAACGTCTTGCACGTGCCCTAACAAATGAGCTTTTCAATTTTTTTGATCAATGACTCTTGAGAGGAGCATAGCAGTTTGCAAGTCCAGAGTTTTCTCCAAGAATCTAGAGAACAATTCCCTTCCTAGATTTTCTTGCAGCCCTCTGATAATAGGTCAATTCCATATGAGCTATCTTATTTGATATCTCATTCCAGTTACTCCGATGGATGTATATAAAGTTTTATTAGAAGTACGCAAATTCATTTATTCTGTAGGCCAGAAGGTCTAATTATTGCCTAGTAGAATTGATTTTATACCAACTGGAATGAGATTGGTTATTGAGAAACACCATAATTATATCACTTGTTTTTACTATCGGCCGAGAGCAGCGACATTCCCAACTCTTCTGATTACCATGTTTGTGGGCATGTATTGTTGAGTTAAATATATTGATTACATTGATTTGCATGGGGCTATCTGTGAATAAACTGGACCGTGTTGTTCTTTTGGTTTGCAATTACTGATTACTTTTGGCCCTTTCACTTGTACATCTTTTTGATCTTATCGTGAAACTGTTTCATTCAGGTTGTTTTATATCCTACTAAACCTCCAAAATACTGCAACTGGTGGTGACGTCTCTTGTTATTATTATTTACTTGTAGAATATGAATATCCTTCAATGTGTTTGAAAGTAACAATATATTCACTCATCCCATTAAGGAATTTCAGTTCATCTCGTTCATTCTCCTTACCGGTGCTTGCTTCCTTGGGATATCCTTTTTCTTTACATTGCCCAGTTGACTTGACTTAACTAGGCTATTGTTTTGTTTGTCAATTTTTCTTTATATCTTCTATTTTGCAGTTTATGCTCGCTTGCGACTATATATGTTTGTAATTATGCCTATATCATAGGTGCTGTCATTGGCCATATTGTTTTTATTTCCGAGCTATGGTGCTAGCATTAGCTTTTCTAGTTGTGCGACCTAGTTTCTGCTTTGTATCAGGTATTTGCTTTTCAGATGGAACTTTAGTTCGGAGTTAAGAGAGTAAATAAATTTTGTCCACACTCCCAATTTGTGAAGCTTCAGTAGTACAAATTTATCTCAATTGAGTAATAATGCTACCCCGGTGAATACTAAATACACCATTATGCTACTGCTTTAAGGCATTTTCATGGATGTTTCTTCTGTGTTTTTAACTGATGGTGCTAGCATTAGCTTTTCTAGTTGTGCGACCTAGTTTCTGCTTTGTATCAGGTATTTGCTTTTCAGATGGAACTTTAGTTTGGAGTTAAGAGAGTAAATAAATTTTGTCCACACTCCCAATTTGTGAAGCTTCAGTAGTACAAATTTATCTCAGTTGAGTAATAATGCTACCCCGGTGAATACTAAATACACCATTATGCTACTGCTTAAGGCATTTTCATGGATGTTTCTTCTGTGTTTTTAACTTTGTTGCTATTCTGGTTTACAAATTTGTACAGGAGAGAGTGCATTTACATCTTTGAGTCAAATTAAACCATTTTATCAAGTTAGTTTTAGATGCATCATATTTTTGTCGATTTGTGAGTGACATATATAAAAGCTTGCGGCTGTGTCTTCCTATCTTTCTGCTTGTGACCGATTCATTGGGCTCTTGGTTCAAATTTGATCTTAAAATGAGCAGATCCTTTTTATTTTTAAGGGCGGTAACAATTCAAGAAAAGGATGAAACACTACTGTTTTTACTAAAGAATGCATACCTGTTTCTTATCGAATTGAGATTGTTACCTATAGTTATTTTTATTTTGGGCAAACAATAATACAGAACTCGTACTATGTTAGGTAATTTTTAATACAGAATATTATTAAGAAAGCCTACTCAGAGTTGGACAAAAGCAAAGCTGTATTTTTTTCTCCCCCTCCATTTATTTATTTATTATTATTATTATTTTTAAATCATACCAAATTGATGCAGAGCTCAAGAATGAAAAGAAAGTGGAAGGTAAAACTATAATATCGTTCACTTTGAACCTGGTACACTTCACTTCTCTTTTCCACAACTATGTGGGATTGTGACAGCAACAATGTTTGAAAACATTTATGGGGGTTCGTTTAACTGAGATTTTAATAAATTTTTTTGAACTTGAATGTATATTCAATAAGAGCCCCACTTGGGTGCTTTCACAGGGTCTTGCAGGCCTCACACTATGGGGTGAGTGAGTATTTTTTCGGTAATATTTTACGCACAAGTTTTTATAAAAATTTGATGAATAAAGGAGTTTCATAAAATTTGGATGAATTGCGAGTTAAAAACTGACTTTCTTGAAGTTTTACCATTTTTAAGGAGATTTTTATGTGTAATAGAGAAATTCAAATTCATTAAAATTTAACCTCTGTTTGATAACAATTATTTAGGAAAAATAATGTTTAAAATGGTAGTTTTTAGGTGATTGTTTGCTTAAAAAATATGGAAAAATTTTGAATTTATATATAGAATGTTTTATTGTATAAATAGAATTGCCAACAGGGTTTAAACAATAAAATTTTACCAAATAGGTGCACATCATGAAACGGAATAAGAGTAATCCCAAATAACAGCGTGGGCAATAACTGAGGTTATTCATTATTGTACAATCCTAAGAATGAAACCCAAAGCAAACAATACCATACAAAATGACTGGAACCTTCCAACTGGTACCATAGCTACTAAACACGCACGCCTAGGCATTGTACTAATTAGCACTGGGGCACGTCTTCAAAAGAACAACTCCTTTTACAATGCCTTCGTCAAATCAACAGTCTCTCTAACCAAATTTTAACTCTCGATACATGAAAATCAAACATTAAACTTGCAGGTCAAAAGCTCTGTACAGACTACTCTATTCCCTCGTAACATCAGATTCAATTATACAATGAGCACCAATACTTTTAAGGGGGGGAAAAAATAGAAAACAGCAATTACGACTCAGCTACTCCTACAAATACTTACATTGTTCTTCATATTCAAGACCGCGCTTTTCTACTGACCTCAGTTCTTCAGTCACTGTCAAATGTTGTCACGAAAATCCTACCACAAGCCTTCTATAAATAGAATCGGTACAGATCAAGGCAATTTACAATTGCCACATTCCTTCATATAACCAATCAAAAATACCCACAAGAAACCGCCTTGAATATAATGCCTACAATTAACTCTACGAATGAGGGCTTGCTGCCTCTGAAGGGTCTGGAAACCATCATTTGCGTAGGCATAAAATAAAAATGATTTCCCTGGTCCTGCAACATTAACATAAGCAAGACATCAGAATATCGTGCTATTTTAAATACTTATTTTACGCTCAATCTTTCTGTGCCATCATTATCGTTAAAAAAAGCTGTACAGCTTTCGACTTGATCTCATCAAATGAAACAAAGCATACCCCCAAGCTAAATTCAAATCCAGTGTAGATAATATCAGATTGTGGGTTAAAAACACGGTTAGTCACCCAAATTATTGCGTCACTTTGGTCACCAAAGTTCAAAATTAATACAGGGGCTTCCATTCTTGTCAACACTGCCATGGCTTACAATATTATGGTGAGCATAGACAATCTTATAGTCTAACAAGGCAAAATCTATTTTTATTTTATGAAGTTTCATTTTCATTTTTTTATCGATATCTAGATAACATATTTCAAAAGCATAATAAGTCCACCAAGATGCGTTTATGCCCAACTGGACCATAAAACAATGTACGGATAGATTTTCCATGCCACATCATATTTTCTATTAGCCATGTCAACTTTTGTATTAATTCAACAAAACGAAGTGAACGAGAGCCTAAAGTGAAATAAGAAAGAAAAAAATGTCACTAATATGATACCTAAAGGTTCAAAGACAAAAATGACACACTCCATAAGTTGAGTGTAGCAGTGTTTTTTCACACACACAAGTTGTACCATTAAGTTATTAATAGATGTTTTGGAGAGCATCCCACAAAAAAAAAATCAATTTAAATATGCAGAACAAACTATGACAGGACTAAAAAACCCGCTCAGTTTAATAATCAAACACAAGGGAGACAAAATGAAAGACAGCATTTCCCCCTCCCCCCATACTTAAAGAACGTATTAATTTAGATTATGTATTTTTTTTTTCCCACACGACTTGCTTGTTTGCAGGAGAACGGAAACACTTCTCGAACCCTTGAACCGAAACCTCTTTCTTATGAACTTGAACACAAAAAAGGTATATCCGCTTGAGCATCAATCAGATAAACTTACAGGTAAAACTAAAACCGTTTCTCAAAAATTAGAAAACATAAAAGGATAGGAAGAGAATCAGATGAATCAGATTCAATTGAAACACAATGGCATGTCAGTTTTCACCTATTGACACACCTGTGAAAATGAAACATTCTTTAATGACGCCACTAGGTTGTTTGGTAAAGGAGCAGGATTAAAAAGCACGAAATATCAGGCATTTCACATAATTCTATCACCACTGCTGACAATATTTCAAAAAAGAGGAGAAAAGAAGCTATGGAACACAACCAAAAAAAGACACTGTATGAAGCTGGTGAACTTAACAAATTGCATGATAGAAGAAGAAAAAATCTAATGATAACGCGAACACCAAAGAAGAAAAAATCTAATGATAACGCGAACACCTTTTTCTTTACCTTAAGCATATCCATTCACAAACTAGATCAATGCCCTTCATCTGACCCATCTGCAGAGGAACTATCACTATCGGAATCTGCAAGAAAGTTAAATAATAGAGTGAATCAGTCAGAGGAATAACAGCGACACGATCATGGCAAAAATATCAACATAGCATGTTAGGCCGGCTTATAAGCCGTGGGGCCGAATTTTTTAAAACTCATTTTCTCCAAACTCATCTTCTACCGCACATTTATGGAACCCACAACTTTTATTAACTTTTCAAACACACATTTCATCAACTTTATCAAAATCTATTAAAAATCTGATTTTTAGCATAATCAAACAGGGGCTAAGCTTATTTATAGGGAGAGAGAGAAAAAGCGCCTGCAAACTTATGAGCCTACCCAAACGTGCAACATACAATCATCTGCACAAACTGAATATAATGGGTTGCATTCCTAGACAAATAAAAAAAGAGCCATTAAAATGTTACTGTTCACGTGGTCAAGTAGTTTTGCATACATCATTATGTCTTTTATATTTTTCTTGACCTCCCTTATTTAATACGTGTTCTGCACTCGATGATGACTTTTTTCTATCTGGGCCCACCACGATCCTTTCCATCCCTTCTATGCCAAAAGTACAGGCCACATTTCTTTCTCTCGGCAAGTCTCTGCCCACAATTCTCTCTTCATTCAGTCATTCACCGATTTCTTCTTTTCCCTTCGGGACCCTCCTTCAAGATCCGGAATTCCCTCACGCAAACATATGATTTTCTATTTTATGGAATTTTATCAATCATCTTCGTTCTCTCCGGTGCCTCCCACCCCCAGAATCTGCATCCACTAGGCTGAAGACAAATTCACTTATACACACACAGACACATTCACCTATGTGGATTTGGTGGTGATCAGAAACTAATTAGATGAAAATGGGGTTTTAGTAAATTCTCTCTTTTCACAGTAAGTCGTCTATTTCTGTTTATGTATCTTGTTATGCATACACATATACCTGATTGATTTTGAAATTGAGATCAAAGAGATTTAGTCAGAGATGGAGGCAGCAAACGCTGAGCTTTTTGAGTTCTCTTTGTTTACCATTTTTTTCCCAGTTTAGGGTTTTCAAGAATCTAGACTAATTTCTAAATTTTTTATGTAATCTTTTTTCAAACTATGCTCTAATAAAGCTTATTATTCTCATTTTTGTTGCTTTCTTTAATATATGAAAGAGAGGAAAATCATTTACCGCTCGAAGATGATCCAGAATCACTGCTAGAACTGCTTGAACTACTGGACCTACTCGCATTATACCCCAGCTTTTCACCTTGAACAGGAGGAGGAGCAGCACTCTTTCCAACTGCTTCAAAAAAATCGAGAAATTCGTGTCAGNGGAACCTCTGCCAACGCAGCGGTTGTACTCTGCAATATAATGAAAAGACAATCATTGTAAGTGCATTGACTTTGAATTTCAAAACCGACCACAGAAAATATAAATCAAACTCTTACCATCACTGGAACAGTCAAATTATCTCCTGCTCTAGCTTGAAGAGCAAGTTCCGTTTTTCTTTTGTACTTGCTCAAGCTCTTCTTGAAATTAGTCACAAACCGATCAAGCTCCCATAAGGTTTCTGTATCAACGGTGTCAATGTCCACCTCAATCTCATTATCATTTTGAGAAAGTGCAGTGTTCCTCTTCTTAATGATTTGAATAATTGCATCAAGCTTCTCAGAAGGTATGCTCTGAAGATTTTTGCTAAGTCTTTGCTTCTCCTCGTAAGTCATGTCCCTCTTATGGGGATCCTTTGCTTTAGGTTTCTTTGGAACGGGCATCCGACCAACATGAGTCCGTTGAATTTTGGGATCAAGAGATATAGGTGTAGCCACAGATTCCGACCTATCTAAAGTCATCATCCGTGGGGCAGATGGAGCATCAGCAAGAAAAGAGGCAACAACTGGAGCAGAGGCAAAGGCAGGGGGAGCAAAATGAGGCTGAGGGGGAGCCTTTCTTGATGTGGGAGTGGGCAACCCTGCACCATGATACATTTGGTACTTCCAATAGTAATTATACTCCGTCTCTATAACTGCCCACCGCTCTTCAAAAATCTCCGATAACTGTTCAGCCATAACATGGACATCCTGCCCTTTCGGATTGTATGTCATTGCATTCCGAAACACAAGTCTCACATCCTCTGCAAACTCCCTCGGTGACTTGTACCAATTTTGCGACAGCCTATTCTTAATTGTACCCAAATCCATAGGATACTTAATGATATCATGGTAATCACGCAATCCCAGTGCCTTGGCATTCACCGGCTCATTAAAAACCCATCCATGCTTGTGCTTCATCAACCTCTGAAGCAAGTTGCTGCAACTCCTGAACACCCTATTCATGTTCTTATCCATCTCGAAACCAAAACCAAAGCCAAATCCATGTCCAGCAAATTTCCTCTTACTATTTGTCTTTAATCTCTTATTGCTTTCAGAAGGCAGTCTATCCTTCCCCAGAAGAAACTCCGAATTCCTGTAATACTGATTAGCCTTGGGAGTCCTTTTCTCTTTCTCCACAAATTCAGCAACACTGGGATTGTTTTCAACTGCAACACTCANGTAATACTGATTAGCCTTGGGAGTCCTTTTCTCTTTCTCCACAAATTCAGCAACACTGGGATTGTTTTCAACTGCAACACTCAGTTGCCTACTATATGGCCTTGGTTCCATATACCGTGTAGCACCCACATCGGAATTCACTCTAGCTAACCCCATCGGCCTGGTTGCTAGATGCCCTGTCGAACCCACCTCTGAATTCACTCTCGCGAGCGCTCTCTTCTCTGCCACCTCATTTCTCACATACTGAGGTTGAGGTTGAATATACCCACCCAAACTAGCATCAACACTGCCAGTCAAAATATTATTACTGCTGATAATACTACTGTTAATATTAGCATCCTTGGCTTCGAGCTGTTTAAATAACATCCTAACCCGCTCAAGCTCCCTCTCTAGCTTCTTCTTAAGCTCTCTAATCTCATTCCTTGGTGTCGCCTCTGATATATTTAATATAACCTTATCATCCCTGGTTATCACCAGGGGTTTCACATTTCCGTTCACAGTTACTGGCTCATTCCCACTGGGTAGGGGTGAGGGCAGAGGGTTTGCTTCTCCACCATTCTGCAGCTCATACCCACCGGGCAGCTGTGCCATTGTTGCTTTCCTACCACTTGGCAGCTTATTTGCGCTGGGATGTGGTGATGATTCTCTCGGACTCTCTGCCCCATGCCCGCTTCTCTGTAGCAGTTCATTTGCACTGCCCAGTGGTGACGATTCTTTCAAGTCGTAAAACTTGTTTCCACTGAGCAGTGACGATATTTCTTTAGGATTCTGTAGCTCAGCTGCTTTACTAAAACTGCCTTCTTGCACTCGATTCTGACTTAAACCATCTTCCGACAGTATGGGTATGGGCGTATGTTCTTGATGCGGTGATTGTCCTTGCTGCTGCTGAAAAGAATCTGCATCTTTTGACACTAGGGTTTGCGAAGACGTCCGTCCTTGATAAGGGGTTTCCGAAAATTCTTTCACAACATTGTCACTGCTCTTAGAATGGTCAGTGGTTGTCGCAGAATGACTGCTTGCGATAACGGCCGGAGATGCTGTAGATTTGCTGGGGTTCTCGGCGGAGAAGGTGGTAGCGGCAACGGTGGAGAAGGGAACCTCGGCGGTGGCAGCGGGATTCTCGGTGGTGGAAGTGGTTGAGGCTGTGGGATTCTCGGCAGCGGTGGTAGTGGCAGAATCGTTATTGATACTGGTTTTTTGGGCTTTCTTGTTGATTCTTCGGGTATAAACTTTGCTCTTTTCGTTCCATCGAACCCTCAGTTTCGAATCCAATTCACTACCCAAATCCCCTGAAGTCCCCGACTCCATACATGTAATTGCCAATTCTGAATATATAAGCCCTAATTTCTCCAAATCAACCTTCTAGAACCCTGAAATAGTCAATATTCCAAAGCTAGGGTTTCAAAAACCCTATAGTTAGAAAACAAAAATCCAAACCTAGGGCTTCAATAACCAAAAATCACGAAAAGAAAATACACACTGTAGCTGAATTAAATCAAAAGCAACTCGATATATGCAGATCTATTTTTTTTTTTAAAAAAAACTAAAATTTAAAAATAAAAAAAAATAAAAGAAGAAGAACGAAAGATCCAGAGATTGGGAAAACTAAAAGAGAAAATAAAAGAAAAAA